GCAAATTTATTTAATGCAATTCACAGCAAGTTAGGTCTGAAAACAACCAGCAGCCAGTGGAAATTCCAAAATCCCATCCGTTTCTTTCCATATGTAATGTGGTTGGGCCAGGAGTAATAAAATGTGCTGTTCAGGAAGCTAACAGTGAACACATGGTTTCAGTCAAATTCATTACTTATCACTCATGATATTAACTATTCAGAAAACACAATATATTTTATTACATCCACGACTCCACTGACACTTTACGTCAGTTTGAGGATTTCCAGTTTGCACGTTCCAGGCACCTTTACTTTACCAAGGATGTGTAATCTCTTTATACATCCAGTCCCCATCAGGATGGTCTCAGGGCTCTGTGCATCCATTATCCATATCCATTATGGTCTGCTTACACAATCCATTGTTAGCCACTTATTGTCCCCATTAGCAGCTATTCATTCTCCCAGGCTGATTGTTTTCCACTCCTTCGTCCTTCCAGCTGTTCTTCTCTTTCATTTGGGCTCTATCTCCAACTATCATTTACTCTTTACCCCCTCCCCCCATCCTATCTTCTACATAAAAAACAACTATTTCCTAGCTATCATCAGTTCTGAGGAAGAGTCACTGGGCCTGAAACGTTAACTCTGATTTCTTTAAGGCCCAGGAGTATGTGCTGAGGGACGCCCTAAAGCTTGGGGCATCTGCCACCAAGGCGCAATGGGGAAGACCACTGTCTGAGGTCCAGTCAATACTGTGTGGAGCTGGAGGAACACAGCAGGTCCAGCATCATCAGAGGAGCAGGAAAGTCAATGTTTCGGGCTGGGACCCTTCATGAGGTCCTGAAACGTTGATTCTTCTGCTCCTCTGATGCTGCCTGACCTGCTGCGTTCCTCCAATTCACATTGTAATGACTCTGACTCCAGCATCTGCAATTCTTGCTATCTCCCACTGTCTGAAGTCTTCCTGCTGAAGTTAATTGGGGGTCCATTCAATTATCGGATCATCCTAGTGCCTCAATGCATGTAAATATAGTCTAGTATATGTAAAAGATGCCTTTGGTCTGTTGGGATAGTCAAAATCAAATATTTGTTTGTTTACTTGATATGTCATTGTACAGAACTGAACTGCGTTTGTGACAATGTATATACACAGATTTTTTTTTACAAATAATTATATTTTACTAATTTAAAAAAAAGTTAATTCTGATTTCTCTCTGCAGATAGTGCCAGACCTGCTGAGATTTTCCAGCAATTTTTGTTTCTGATTTCCAGCATTCGCAGTTCTTTTGGTTTATATTTTTGGAAATGTTCTGTGTTTTCTGAAATACAAATTATTTCTTTTAAATCAAGCTATTTAGGAAAGGCTCATAGAGGTTAATATACAACAAAAAAGACATTCTGCCTGCCCTCATTGTACTCAAACTCTCCCACTGATGCTCTCACTGTGGAGCATTGCTGCAGTTCTTAGTTCTCCAATCAAACAGGAACTTGATTGTATATAAAGCCTTCAGGGTGTACAAAAGCATTTTACAATTACTAAAGTACTTTTCATGTGGTCACTGTTGTAATGTAGGGAAAAGCAACAGTTAATCTACACACAGGCAAGTCCCACAAACAGTGATGAGAAAATTGGCCAGAAAATCTCCTCTCCACCTATCCTCTCCTCTATCCCTCTTCTATCCGCCTCCCACTCTCTCCCTATTTATTTCAAAACCCCCTTCCCCTCCCCCTTTTCTGATGAAGGGTCTAGGCCCGAAACGTCAGCCTCTCTGCTCCTATGATGCTGCTTGGCCTGCTGTGTTCATCCAGCCCTGCACCTTGTTGTCTCGGATTCTCCAGCATCTGCAGTTCCTACTATCTCTGCTTTAGTTGATGTTGGTTAAATGTTAGTCAGGGCAACAGGAGAACTCCCTTTTTTTTGTCACATAGAATAGAATCCCTACAGTGTGGAAACAGGCCCTTTAGCCCAACAAGTCCACACCAACTCTCAGGGCATCCCACCCAGAACCATCCCCCTATAACCCACCTAACCTACACATCCCTGAACACTATGGGCAATTTAGCATGGCCAATCCACCCAGCATGCACATCTTGAGACTGCAAGAGGAAACCAGAGCACCCAGAGGAAACCCACACAGACACGGGGAGAATGTGCAAACTCCACACAGACAGTCGCCTGAGGGTGGGATTGAACCTGGGTCCCTGACCCTGTGAGACAGCAGTGCTAACCACTGAGCCATTGGGCCAATACATCCATCTGAGGAGCAGACAAGACTATCAGTGTAGCATTCCCTCAGTACTGTATTGAAATGTCAGATTAAATGCTAGAGAGGAATTTAAACTTGTATGCTACTTGCTCAGAGGTGAAAGTGCCATCACTGAGCCAAGGTGAACTCATCCAGCAGTCTACCTTTCTGGTACATTATACTGGTAAGGTCTGTATTGTTTTCTAGAATGGCATAAGAAGTATAGGTCTACATTGCAGTGGAAAGAATTAGTCACTACCACAATGCACAAACTAAAGCAAGCAGTGCACATGCTCATGTGGGAGATGGGGTTATCTGCATATTACTGAACTGAAATTTTCATAAGCATGTTTTCTCTTTCTCTTTGAATTCAGAAAAATAAATTTATTTTAGACAATCCATCGCATGAAAAAATATCCAAGCATTTGTGGTAAAAATGTGTCCTCATCAATTGCAGGTTTTAAATCCAACCCCCTCTAGCAGGTTGGTAATAGGGGAGAAAACTGTTCTCTGTTGTCCCAATAAAGACTCCAAATTTATCTTGTGGATAATTGCAGCAAATGTGCAATCCTTTTGGTCCCTACTCATGAACAATAGTATTGTGCTGCTGTACTGCCTAAAATGCATTCAGAATTTGGGAGTACTGTTACTGGCAGGGGTGAGGGGCACAACATGACTGGGTACCAATGGACAAGGGGTAAAGCCAAGACCCAAAAAACAGAGAACCCCAAGCAGCCCCTCTTTCCTGCAATCTCTGTATGTGTATGAATCTCTCTCTCTCAAGACCTAACCTCCCTACCACTATGTCTCTCTCTTTCCTTTTCCCAATGCCTTCATGCAACAGATTGTGTTGAAATGGAGATCGTGAATCATAGCACTCGTCTCTAAGCCACTGCTGCATAATGGGGGTTAAACTACAGGATCTATCCACTCTGCTGGATGTGGCTAATTTAACTGAAGCACTACCTGAGCTTTCTTCAAAGGAACCAGAGCCTGATTAAATAGCTCTTTCCTTCACCACCTATCTCCAGATCTGCCTATTCTAAAATCCCAATTTTTCAAGAAAAAACACGGACTGTTTATCAGATTTACTCCTGGAAGCTTCTGACACAGAATGGCACCGAACCCAAAGGCCATTTGAAATCAAAATGTGCAAAAATATAAAATAGCAGCCAGAAGCCCCAAGCATCTAAAGCCAAAATTCAAAGGCACTGTGTGAAAGTTATGGAAAACAGAAATATTGATGGCTTCTCTTAACGCATTAAAGATGAGGCGATTGTCCAAGAGCAGTCAGCACTGCTGCCTCACAGCACTAGGAACCTGGGTTCAATTCCAACCTCGGGCAACTGTGTGGAGTTGGCACATTGTCCCCGTGGGTTTCCGCCGGCTGTTCCGGATTCCTCCCACAGTCCAAAGATGTGCAGGTTAGGTGGATCATCTGTGCTAAATTGCCCCATAGTGTCCAGGCTAGGTGCATTTAGCCACGCTAAACCGCCCCGTAGTGTCCACTGATGTGTAGGCTAGGTGGAGTCGCCATGGGAAATGTGGGGTTTAAGAGGTGGATGGGGGTCTGGATGAAATGCTCTTTGGGTGGGGGGGGTGGTCGGTATAGACTCGATGGGCCACATGGCCTCTGTCTGTACTGTAAGGATTTTGGATTCTGTTGCTGCAGGCTGTGTTTTCCGTTCTGTCAGTCAGCAGTGACACTTTGAGACTCTCCCCTCTCCGTGTTGCCAGCTTCATGCTGTTTAGCTGGGGGCGGCTCCCAGTCACTCCGCTATTTAAAGGGGCAGAGAGCAGCAGGGTAACACAGAAGACAGGAGAGAGACAAGGAGGCAGAGAAAGAAAGAAAGAAAGAAAGAAAGAAAGAAAGAAAGAAAGGAAAAGAAAGAAAGAAAGAAAGAAAAACAAGAAAGAAACATCCCAATTTTTCAGGGACAAAAGCCAGCTTGTAATACAAGAGATGAAGCTGCCTTTCGCCGGCCCGCTGTGCATCGTTATCTGTGCAGCAAGCTTCACCGAGGCAGCTGCATTGAAGAAGGGTTCCTCAACCAAGGACAGACACATGCAGTTCGCCTCCTGGGACGAGGTGAACCTGATCGCCCACGGCCTCCTGCAGCTCGGCCACGGCCTCAAGCAGCATGTGGACCGGACCAAGGAGCAGCTCCGCCAGGTCATGGAGCAGCTGCACTCCCACAACCGCAGCCTGAGTGAGCTGGCCGGCCGCCTGGCTGAGCAGCGCTCCGGGTTGGAGCCGCCGAATCTCTCCGGGCCTCACCTGCTGCAGGTCTCCGCCAGCCTGCGGGCCAAGGTGGAGGAGATGGAGCAGGACAGGCTGAGGGTGGATAGGGCGCTGCGGAACTTGGAGGAGAAGGTGGACAGCCTAGTGAACAGGGACAGAACTGGAAGCAGCATTAACGGTATCCGAGTAAGTCCCAAAAAAAACCTTGTGACACCTGCCTTTGATCTTTTACTGTAGTTTTTCAGTCTAATAGAGACCTCGATTCTTTCACTGCAGCACGTTAAAAATGCATTAACTTGTGTGTGTGTGTGTGTGTGTGTGTGTATATGTACATGAATTATTTACAAAGGGCATTGCAGGACAACTTGATTAGCCAAATGTTTAATTATGTAGGGTCAGTAAAAAATACACGGAGCTTAATTATTTTGCTTTGAGCAGATCTTTGGAATGGAAAAATGGATTGTAACTTATACCTCGCGTGTACGTGTTCAGAGTCAGTGACACTGGTATCTGTAACGGTCAGCTAACAGCTTAAACAGCAATACTCTCCGCTACCTTTTTGTTTTCATTTAACACAGGGACTAAAGCGATCTTGGTTAGAAATTTGAGGCTTTTTTGAAGTTAGATAAGGAATGTGCCATTCTCTTGTTGCCTGCCTGATCAGTTTAAAAGGGAAACCTACAAGACCCAGTACTCTCCAGTGTATGAGACAAAAAAAACTTGCACATGCTGAAATCCAAGGTGGAGGAACAGGAGGCTGAAAGAACTCAGCAAGCCATGCAGCACCTGGAGGAAAGGAGCAGTTAACGTTTCAGGACTGTCCAGTATATATCGGAAATAATGAAATGCTGGGAAGCTGGCAATAATGGAAGAGAGGGACATGTCCAAAGAACACTTCAGTGTTCACAACATAAGCTATGATATTGCTACACATCCCAGTCAGCAGCATATTAGTCGTGTAGTGCGTGTGGAGCGTGATGTGAGTCATACTGGTTGGTGGGGTAACGGATTTGCTTCACTGCACTTACTATAGTCAGCATTGTGCAGCACTAATTCAGTAATGAAATATATTGAGTTTGCTGAAAATGGGAGAAGTACAATACAAAATAGGAATAGGAGGACAATAAAGAGAATTGGGTCTTAAAGTAAATCCGAAAGAACCGCGGATGCTGTAAATCAGAAACAAAAATAGAAACTGCTGGAAAAGCTCAGCAGGTCTGGCACCATCTGTGGAGAGAAAGCAGAGTTAACTTGTTGCGTCGAATGACCTTTCCTCCACTCTTTCTGACACTCTAATTTTCTAACATTCCAGCCCAAAGTAATATTTTAAAGAACCAATGTTTTTAAAAGTTTGCCGTCGGCCAATATGTGCACTGCAAGATCCGACAAACAGCAAATGCACAAAGACCAGACAATCTGTGTTTAGCAGTCAGCCGAGGGAAAAGTTATATCCAGGTCAATGGAGGGAATCTCTTTAAATGGTACAAAGGGATTTTTTTTTCCTCTATATCCACGTAAATGGACTGCTTAATACCCACACCACTCACTCAGAATTGCACTTGAAGTGTTAATCTAGTTTACTCCGATCCTGGTGTGAGATGTAAACTGATCACATCTAGGTAGGAGATCCTTCAACTCAACCGAATCTGACAGTAAAATCATCTGTGTTTTGAAATTAGAGGAATGCATTCTTAAACAAAATTGATCATTTAGCAGTCCAACCAGATATTGTCTGTATAAAGTTAGCGCTCAGATTACAAATTTTCAGAAAACATGAATCATTTTTAAAATTTACTGAACTTTAAAATACTTTTGTTTTTGCAGTCCATGATGGAAACTCAAAGCAGAAACATAAATGAACTGCTGACAAAAATTGAAGATCAACAGTTGCAGCTGGAAAAGCAGAAAGTTCAAATCCAGATTCTGCAAAACCAGGTGCATGACCACAATAACAAATGTTAAATATGTATAGACGAAACAATGTATGTGATAGGGATAATAAATATACACAGGCAAGGAATATTTCTACTAAACACGCATGAGCATGTTATGTAACTAGAACAACAAATTCAGCATTACTACTAAAACAAGGCAAATACCATAAACATAGGGCAAGTGGGAAAGGACAAGGCTGAAATTAATTGATCTCTCCTACAATATTAAAAGGAGCCTATTTTGATAGATGCTGCTGGAATGGCATCGATGAAGAGTCAAAATCAGCCAAGGTTCCTGATCACTTTCCAATACCTTCAGCTTTCATTGTAAGTGTTGAGGTATCAGGTATAGACAAGATAGGATAGTTTGCCAGCATTCACAGTCTAGGCTTAATGAAGTAAACTGACTTGGGAAGACATGGGAACTGTACTCAATATAGCAGGAGAAAACAGAAAGTGCAAATACACTATAAACTATTGAAATTCTTAATTGCGAGCACAGGTTAAGACAGTGCTACATATCCAAGCACTGCTTTATGTTAACTTGCTTCTGTTTATGGCATTTCTAGGTTGATGCTATCTTGTGTGTATGTAATTTTGAATTGTAACTGTGGGTGTAGAAGGGGAACCTAACCTAGTCTCTCCTCTCCATTACAGCTGCCAGAAAACAAATTACAACTTAAAGACAGTCCGCACTGGAGGTCAATTCTCAAACGAAGAATGGAGATGGTTCCTCACACACATAGCAGTGTGGAACCAAAGCCAGCTGACAGTAAGTACACCTCTTAGAAAAATTACAGTAAAATTCATATTCCCAGACCAAACTGCAGGCAGAAGAACAATGGAATCTACATAAATACACCCTCTCTCCTTTTGCTCTCTAAGTGACTGGGGTGGCATGGTGGCATGGTGGCTCAGTGGTTAGCACTGCTGCCTCACAGGGCCAGGGACCCAGGTTCAATTCCACCCTCTGGCAACTGTCTGTGTGGAGTTTGCACATTCTCCCCATGACTGCATGGGTTTCCTCTGGGTGCTCTGGTTTCCTCCCACAGTCCAAAAATGTGCAGGCTAGGTGGAGTGGCCGTGCTAAATTGCCCATAGTGTTCAGGGATGTGTAGATTAGGTGGGTTATAGGGGGATGGATCTGGGTGGGATGCTCTGAGGGTCAGTGTGGACTTGTTGGGCCGAAGGGTCTGTTTCCACACTGTAGGGATTCGATGATGATGACATTACTTGAAGCTAGATCTGATCTTTCAGACAAAGGAATTTGAAATAAAATTAAACCACAATCGTTCAGGTTTGTTGTTTTATTCCACAGGCTACTGTTGCTGTTATTTAAAAAGTGGAATTTCACAATGAGGAAAATTCCACATCATTATTCCAAGGTCTGAGAAATAAATCAGTGATACATGCAAAGACGAACCAACACAACATATGAGAACAAATGTGAGCAAATACACAGGAACTGACACACAGACTCGTGTCACTGAGTGTCCATAGGTAATTAGGAGGTGTATATTTGGGTTGCAGGAATGTGTTCATGCTTCCTTAACCTGGGATTTCAGTTCAACAAATATCTGGTACATTGATGTTAAAGTAGAAAGGAGAGGGCCAGCTGAAGTTTGAACATTCTGTGCAGAACACAACAGCAAATGGAATGTCTTTCTGGCTGCTGGCCAACTGGGGGAAAGGGCACTCAAAACGTTACAGGCAGAGAGAGCAAGGCAGGCAAATTCCTGGGAGACCCGTTGCCTATAAACAGATTGACTTTAAACTTTCTGTATATTCGGCAAATGTTTTTCAAAAATAATTTATTGGCAAAGATAAGCAAGATACTTTTTTTTTTAAAATCCACAAAGCCGGAACATTAGGGAGCCTAGCAAATCAGGCTCCTGCTCCCGGTCACTAGTCCCTACTGGAGTGAGTGTGTGAAGCACGATCAGACTTGGCTGTGATATACCGCCACAGTTCAACATAGAAACATAGAACATAGGAGCAGGAGTAGGCCATTCAGCCCTTCAACCCTGTTCCATCATTTCAACTCATTACTCTGTTCTACTTCCTCACCATGTCCTTTGATCCCTTTTTAGTCCTAAGAGCTATATCTACGTTTTTCTTGAAAGTCTTCAATGTTTTGGCCTTCTTGGTTTCCAGTGACCAAGAATTCCACAGGCACATCGCACTTTCTGGGTGAAGAGATTTATCCTTCACTCCCACTGAGTGATGCTGTGTGAAGGCCCTTTTATCGAGGAAAGGGAATTGAGGGAAGATTTGACAGAGGTGTATATGATCATGATCACTTTGGATAAGATGGATAAAGAAAAGTTGTTCCCATTTCCCAATGCTACAAGAAATAAGGGACGCCGGTTTTGACCAAGAGTCGCAAGGTTGGATATGAGGAAGACTTTGTATTTTAAATAAAGTGAGTGGTAATGATCTAGAATCATAGATTCCTTAGTGTGGAAAGAGGCCATTCATCCCATCAGGGCTGCACTTGCCCTCCAAAGAGCATCCCACCTAGACCCACCCCCTACATTTATCCCTGTAATCCACACATTTACCATGACTAACCCACTTTGCCTGCACTTCCTTTGTCACTATGGACATTTAGCTTGGCCACCCCACCTAACCTGCACTTCTTTGGGGCTGTGAGAGGAAACCCACGCAGACACGGGGAGAACATGCAAGGTCAGTACAGTCAGTTGCCCGAACGTGGTATTGATCCTGGGTCCCTGACGCTGTGAGGCAGCGGTGCTAACCACTGAGCCACCATGCCACTCTGCCTGTCTGACTTCAAAGTTGGTGGAAGCGGAGCCAATCAATAACTTTAGAAAGAAATTGGATGAGGACTTGAGGTAAAACCCAAAGTGCAATGTGGGGAAGTGATGGGACTGACCGGATTATGCTAGAGAGAACTAGCACAAACATGGTGTACAGAATGGCGTCTTCTGTGCCATTATGATTTTAGAAAATGCTTCAAGTGTTGGCACCTTCAGGGTTGAGCTATTATGGATATAGAAAATGGTTATGGGTAAGCCCTTTCTTTCCCCTTTCTATAACTGTACAGATGTAAAAATATTTGTTAGAGGTGTAAAAGATCATGACCTGGTTTGGATCAGATGAATAAAAATATTTGTATAGGGGGCTAGTTATTTAAAGAGGAGAGCTGAGAATTAAATATTAGCAAGAATCAGTATCAAATGCAAGATTGTTAAGATCTGTAAAGAAACAGGAGGTTGACATTCACAATGTAAAATACCCAATTTCCACTTTGCCTTTTATGGATGCTGATGCCTTGCTGTTTATTTACTATTCTTAATGTCAAAGCTGCTAGCCTTTTCCCAATTTCTTGTACTACTTTTAAAAATCAGAGCTATGCTCGGTTTAAGCTCAGTGTATTCCAGCCATCCTCCCAGTTCCAGACAAGCCTTGTGCTCAGAGGCTGCTCACTACATGAGGCTGTCCCACTGAATGGTTGCTGACCCTTACTCAAAACAGGCAGAAACAGAGGAGGAGGACTCTCCCAGACAATGAGCCGTTCAGGAATTTCTTACCAATGAAATGCAGCAGCTGTGGCTGCTAGCCAACTAGGTGAAAGTTGAATCTACTGTGAGTTGGCCACAAGCTAGGAGGAAATATTAAAGACTTTTATCTGCAGAATAGGAGAGCAGCTTAAACTGTTTTTTTGCTTTTAAAATAAAACTGGTGTGTGAATAACATGGCACAACGCCAAGTGAGTAAAAGTTGAACAGCGTGATTCGTAAAAGCTTCCCACTTCAGTCCTGAACTTGCTGCGAGTTGTTGCTTTCTCTGGATGATCACTTCCCTCATGCAGATTTTTTTTCCCCTCTTCAATTCTTCCCACAACACACTAACCTTTACCCCACTTCCAAACCAAGCGCTTAATAGGAAGTGTGTCAAAAGCGAAGACACAGACTGTCGTTCTGTGCAGAGGGCTTCAGCTCTGAGCCACTTGCTTCCATTTAGGCCATTGCCAGAATATGTCCCAATCCAGTGACCCCCAGAGGGTTTTAGTTATCTGGGTAAACCTCAGACCCAGGATCAACCAGTGAGCCACTGTCACTGTCTTTCATCTTCATCACCAAATATATCATGACCACCACCCCCTGCCCCTGTCTCTTCAGTCAATAATAGAATAGATATTTTATCTGAAGTATGTGACCCACAGCAATGAAGCCAATAATGAATATGTCTAATGTGCTTAATTACCAATACTGGAAATGTGAATTTAAATATCAATGGAATGCAATTTTTTGGAACAGTACTGGACCATTCAGCTGTCTAAGTCTTTTCTTCCATTTGGTTGGATCACTGCTTTTCATAACTCACATCTATTTATTCACCTTTGTTCTACATACCATTAATTTCTGAGCAGACCTAGGACATTACTTGATCTATCCCCCGCACAAAAATCCTATTGAAACTGGAAGTTCAGCTTCAAGTTGTGTATTTTGTTTCTTAGAAACTGAACCTACAGCACAAGCAATACTCACCACCATAAATACAAGATATTTAGTTCAGGCTGATTAAATACCCTTAATCATATTATTCATAGTCATTTGTTTACTAAATTTCTGAAGTTTAAATCTTTGCTCCCCACCAGTTTTAACCGCAATCACAGACATCAACAGAAATCTCATTAATTAGTAAAGGCTCCAGTGCATTAAGCCTCTTTTAAATAAATTGAGTATTTTAAACAATAAATTACACTGAAAGCATCTCCAAAATAGATATGACTAGCTGTTAATGAGTACTTTGAGTGTGTTGTCAAAGTAGCTGTCTGGGACAGGGCTGAGACTATCTGCACTCTGTTCTTCATATTCTTTAGGCTATACATTTACCACATACAGTGAACATACATCACAGCCTGAGCTATGTTTTAAAATATACAGTGCACATAAATCCTGTGTTATGTAGCTGCTCTATACAGTGCTGTACCTCAACAATAACTTGCATTTTTATAGTGTCTTCAACAAGAAAAAATCAGAAGGTGCTTGAAAAATGGACACCAGAAGAAAGAAGGATTAGATAGGAATACTTTAACTTTGGTGAAAGAGGCGGTTTCAGTGAGCCTCTGCAAAGAAAGGGGGTGAGGGAGGCAAGGAGACGGCAAGGTTTAACCAGAGAATTTCAGCATAGGGCTTACTGGACTGAAGGAACCTTTTGCTAATGGTTGGTGGAAGGGTGAGTGAGATGGTCGCAGTCTAAGAGATATGCTTAGAGGGAGGCGACAGGAATAAAGCTGTGGTGGATTTAAGATGAGCTCCATTGTAGTAGCGCTTGAGAGTCAGTGCAGGTCTAATACAGGGAATGATGGGCAAGCTGAACCATAGAGTTTATACATCCATACAGGATATAGAATTGCGGAGTATTGTAACTGACGGTTTTGCTGTAAGTGGGATGCTATCTGATGTTACAGATGTGGAAATGGGTTTCTGCGATGCAGAGAATATACAGTTAGTAAAGCCATGTTCAATGAAGTTATGAAGAGGCTGAAATGCGATAACTTTACACAGTAAGTGTACACCAAACATCCTGTGCTATATATTTGCCATCTATGCCAAATATTCATCACACACCCTTAGTATATGTTCCTGGACAACGGCTACCGTTTTACATTAACTAATTAAAAATGTTGGCTCTTAAACAGTCCCTGTATCAGTGATATACTCTCAGCAGGGTGTCGGAGACTGAGCAGAGAAACTAGCAGCAGAACTCAGCATTAAAACTAGAGCAAACAAACACACAGTTCAGCAAATGTTAATTGCCTCAAGTGACCCAGTGTTCTCTGATTAAGCCGCAAGGAATGCCTGACTGCATCTGTGTGGAGGGGTGCAGCAGAATCCTGGGACAACTAGGTAAAAGTTCATGTTGACGTCAGCCTTCAGAAAAGCCCTAGCAAAACCTCGTAATCCTTTCAGCCTGAACAGCACCGAGCTGAGTCCATTGCAAAATAAAGCAGCACAGTATAACCTGCAGCTCAAAAGCAGAAACAAACCTACCAATCAACCAGATTCAAACTTGGCTCTGTCACTCACACCTCAAAAGTTAACTAAAGCATAGAAACTGTGTGGAATTTTAAAGAGGTGTTCAACATGGTTACTAAAGCACTAAAAAATCCAGGGACTCTCTTTTTCATTTACATGTTCCCATTTCCATGTAGGAGAGATTTAAAAGTGGGGTTTCTCATTGTCAGAGTGAAAAATATAAACTAAAAGTGAATCTAGAGACAAACTGAATAGAAATGGTTAATTAATCTAAAACTGGATGAAATTCATCCAAAATTTAACACAAAACATGTATATATTTAATGTTTTCTTCACTAGTCTTTTCTTCAGTAATTTATTTCAGTTGGAATGAAGAGGAAAAATACTCCCTGTCCAAGCTCTGGTTAAAATGATAGAGCTAAAAGTAGAGCAAAGTTTACCAAACTCTGCAGAAGCTGTGTTTAACTACTTGTGCTCACACTTGTTGAATCACACTTGTCTGAATCCACAGACACTCACACCCGGTTTGTACATGAAGAGTGGGTGCAGAGAACATTTCTCCAGCCAAACAGTGTGGTGGGAGCAGGGGTGATGGTAAACTCTTCCCAGTGGTTGTGCGATCTCTGCAATAACTCAGCCACTCTCAGATGCACACGGCCTCCACCCACTTCAGATGTTCAACGGTGGGGTAAAGGACTTCTTTATTGCAGCACAGAAGCTGAACTTTTAACAATGGCTTGTATATTACTGAGTTGGCAGTGCTGAGTCGCCAAGGTTTGAAGTTCAGGTAAACAATCCTCAAAGGGAAATGCTATTTCTCAAGATTCCAAAACTTCTGTATTCCAAGTTGAACCACTCTCTTTAGAAAGGGTAAAAATTTATTGAACATAAACTTACTCTAATCCTCCTTTTAAGGGGTATAAATTCATTAAAGCAAAATTCTTGGTAATGTTACTTTTGTGCCTTCTGCAAAGGAGAATTAAGAAGAAAGCACGGGATAAAACAAGAATCTTTTAGATTCTTTGCCCTGCCTCTATTTTAATAACTGAAATTTAACAACTGGATGAGCCTTTGTTTTCGTGCAGAATGACTCTATGACTTTTGATGTGGAAGCATTTGCAGGAATAGTCAGAAATGCGGAGAAGTAAGAGTGAAGGAATGCCTGAAATCTAACGAATGCTCGCTCTTCTTTTCCTGTAGAACTGCCAGCTGATTGTCACCAATTATACTTGGAAGGACAGCGAACCGCCAATGTGTACAAAATCCAGCCAATAGGCTCAAAGCCCTTTGAAGCATTCTGTCAAATGACAGAAGGTAAGAATTTAAACATGACTAGAGACTGAGTCTGGGACTCTCCAGGAAATGGGGCCACAACTGCCCCTAAAATGGGGTCAAAAGTTTACTTCCTTTTGCTAAAAGGGGTCCAGGGCCAAAGGTCTTATTTAAAGAGGACCAGAACTGCTTGTGGATACAGGGTCAGGGACTGTTGTCACTCACAGGAACGATGATGGGGTTAACCTTGTCAGATCTAATTTTACAATACCTCCATCTAATGTCCTTTAGGGAAGGAAACTGTCATCCTTACCAGGTCTGGTCTGCATGGGTGACTTCAGACCCACAGCAATGTGGTTGACTCTTAACTGCCCCTCTGGGTAATTAGGGATGGGTAATAAATGCTGCCTAGCCAGTGACACCCTCATCCCCTGAATGAATTTTCAAAAAAAAATCCGGGCAAAGCCAAATGAGTCATAAAATATTTGTCTTCCAACAGAAGGTGGCTGGACTGTGACCCAGAGACGGAGGGATGGTTCAGTGGACTTTGACCGCCTCTGGCAAGCATACAAGGATGGATTTGGCAACCTTACTGGTAAGCAGTACTCAGCGGGCCTAAACTCTACGGCTGTTTAACTCCCTTCAAAAGAAGCCGAACTACCAATGGGTTGGTTCCCCTGAATTAGGTAGGGTAAATTCAGCCCAAGCTCCTAGGCCTAATGACCAAGCTATATGCCTGAGTGACTGATAAGGACATGCTTGTACCACTCTTTTGGCGGTTATACTGAAGCACACTTTGAAAGCAGTGCCTTCAGAAGAGAGAGGGAGTGAACAGGAAACAGTACAAAGATAAATAATTCATTTGTCAGATACACAATATGAATACTATTTGGACACTAAAAGGTCATCGGGGAACGAAATGGGCTTTAGTATCCAAATGTTCCCTTGCTTTGTCCGACTCAAAACTCACAGTAACACGAGTGAGTCTTCATGACCTCCCAAACTACTCCAGTGTACGGAATGGGCTTTGCTCATGGTACACAACATCCCGTTAATCAAATTAACAAACAAACTGCACACAGCAAATCCTGCAAATATGTTACAATAAGCAGGTAGTCTTTTTGCTGGTGTCAATGAAGCACAGAATATTAGCCAGGACACACTGAAACAACAGAGGATCATAGACTGCGCTGTCATTACAGAGAGATGACTGGTGGTGGGTATTATGCTGAGGCTAACTACACCTCCGGTCAGATGGGAGGTTGAAGGCCAGCTTGGCGAACTTAGCCAGTGTGGGAGCTAAACCTGTGCCATTTGGCATCACAAACCAGCCGTCTAGCCAATTGAGCTAATCCACCCCGGAGAGGCGCTCCAAAGACAATTCAGAATATCCTCATTGAATAAATGGAATTCTCTGTTCTGATCAGATGTTCTCGATTTCAGGTGAATTCTGGTTGGGTCTGGAGAAACTTTATACCATTGTGCGTCAGGGTGGCTATCTGTTGCGTATCGAACTGGAGGACTGGGAGAATCACACTGAGTACACTGAATATCCATTCAGCCTGGGGAGCGAGGCTACTGACTACACCATGACCCTCAAGAGCCCTGTTTCCGGAAACCTCAAGAATGCCATCAGTGAGTCGAGTGGACTGGGCTTTTCAACTCGGGACCAGGACCACGACCTGAAGTTCAACATGAGCTGCGCAAAACACCTAACAGGTCAGTCCTGAGGCTAACCCAAGAAATGCTTAAACTTTAAAACAATGTCACATTCTTTCTTGGTCTCCCTCGAGAACAATGGAATGTTCCAGCTCTTAAGCATCCCTGCAAATACGAGCTATTTGTAAAAATCAGAGGAGCTGAGACTGTAGCATAAAATGAATCTTCATGGGATGTGGGCATCACCGGCTGGGTCAGCATCTATTGCCCGTCCCCAGTGCCCTCGAAGGTGGTGGTGAACTGCCTTCTTGAGCCATTGCAGTCCATTTGTTGTAGGTAGACACTTAATGCAGTTAGGGAGGGAGTTCCAAGATTTTGACCCAGTACCTCAGTTGTCTTATTTAAATGACAAACATTAAAAAGTATAACCTAATAGATGATTTTTTTATGGGGGGGTGGAATTTTTGAAGAGTTTTGATAAAAGGGAGAAACTATTTCTTCAGGCAAGTGAGTTGATAATCAGAGGCCACAGGTTTAAACTAATTGTCAAAAGAACTTTCATAGAATGATCTGAAAAGAATGGCAGAAACAAATTCCAGTGGAACTTCCAAACGGTGACTGGACATGTCCTTAGAGAAGAATAGCTTTCACGGTCTGGGGAGAGGCTGGGGCTTGTGTCTAATTGGATAGTTTTTTCAAAGAGCAGGGACAAGCACAATGGGCCGAATGGTTGCTCTGCAGGATACTATTACCAGGCACCACAATATAAGAGATTGAGGAAGGGGAAAGGGAGGAGGGAAACTGATGCTAATCATCCACAAACTCAATTTGAGGCAGAACTCTGCACTGATGCTACTTCTGCACTCTCCTTAGGGGTCATCAGCAGCATGGAGCAGATGGACTGAATGGACGGAAACATCCTGGTTAGGATCCCGAGATCTGGGTTATCACATGCCTCGAACTGCAGAGCAGTAGAGAGCCTGGGCATAGATCTACCTGTGTGTTGGTGACTTCAGATCAGTAGCCCCTGCTCATTGGTGTCCAGGAAGCTAGTGAGGCCTTTATTTCAACAGAATGCTTGTTTCCCAAAGGAGAGATTCTGTGGCAAGCCAGCTGCAGCCTCAATCCAATATGGGAAAGAAGTAACACTAACCGAGAATGCTGAAAAAACTCAGGAGGTCTGGTAGTATCTGTGGAGTGCGAAAGACGAGTGTTAACATTTTGACTCTTGTTTGAGTTCCTCTTCAGAAGATGCCACTGGACCTGCTGAGTTTCTCCAGAATTCTGTGTTGTTTCAGATTTCCAGCATCTGCAACATTTTGCTTTTGTTTTGCTAGAAAGAACTAGTTTTGGTTTTGAGATTCTTCAGTAAATCGCAGAATTGGGAGTGAGTTCCTGCCTAGCGTCTGCCACAGGCGATATGGGTGGTGTCTGATGGGTTTCATATGCATTAAATACTTGGTGGGCTCCATATATCAGTGGAGCTGTGAGCAGCTTGATCTGGCTTGTTTTCCACAGCTTTAAAGGCATCTTTCTGCCTATTCCAGGAGGATGGTGGTTCACTACGTGTGGGCAGGCCAACCTGAATGGCAAGTATTTCACCAGCAAGCCCCGACAGCGACACGAGAGGAAACGGGGAATATTCTGGAAGCCCTGGAAAGGCAGAAATTACCCTCTGAAAACCACGACGATGATGATTCGCCCTATGGAACTAGAGGCATAAATGACAACAACTCAGATTCTGGCAGAGACTGTGTGCGGGTGAGAGAGTGATGGAGTGAGACAGAGAATTAGAATACAGAAAAGCAGTCACTGTTTACATCTGGGATGAGAATACAATGCAATATTTTAAAGGAAAAATGGATGCACTGACTAAAGCCTCCAAACATGTATAATTTTTATCTGTTTATGCAACAAAACAATGCAGCAAGTATCCCAGAATTAACAGCTGAGCTATGCAAGCATATCCAAAGCCCACAAGCCACTTAAAGCAGCTATTAGTTTTACTTGAGTGTTTTTTTTTCAATTTTAAGTTAATAAAATGTAAATGCAGCTAACTTCTGTAAAAGAAAGTTTGTCAGATTTCCCAATACGCAACTTCACCCTTTGTTCACTGATCATTCAGCGATTTACTTATATCCTCACTTCAGCTGCAGTAGGAGTAATCTGTACTTCAGAAAACTGTGTACACATCACTGCCACTGGGCATACAGTGAGCTGACACTAGTGTCAGAATACTAGAGAATTACTATGTCTCTGAACATGAACAAATCTCTTACCAATATAAAATGCACCATGCTATCACTGAAGGGCCAGGTCAAGACTGTCAGAAGCAAAGCAACAGTACACCGTAACTTCTCAAATGTCAGTGGCTATGAAAGGAACCTTTTTTAATATACTTCTATAACATTGCTCTGCATTTTCTCTGAAATGAAGTCAAACAGATGTATTGTTTCTGGTGGAACCTATACAGTGAATGCAGGTGCAGTCTAGGCACTGGCATAAACCCAGAGTGACAGGCCTGGATTCAGGTGCCTACAGCATCACTTTCTGAGTGTGCTGGTTACTGTTTCGACCAGTTTCTCTGTTACACTTGTAGCTCGATTCCTACTTAAAGGAATGTGTCCAAGTCATATTGACTTTATCACCATGGCTATGAATAGCTTCAGAATTGAAACTATTAATTGTTTCTTTTGTTTGCCTTTATGTATTTAAACATTTAATATTCCAAACCTGCCTTTTGTAATTTATAAAAATGGCTCAGCCTCTCCCAGAGGGGAATGAGTCACCCTCTATCGTCTGCTGTACATAACCTTTAAAGCCTGTTATTTTAATATCAAATGATTTCTTTAATCATATTTTGTCTTAAAAAAAAAGCTATCCTTTGGTTTAAATATTTGTCTGGTCTACTTGTTTGTTTCTGTGGGGAGTGGGAGTGTGATTTACAATAAGGGTCTGATGCAACAGTCTTACCTTGACATCATTCTTCATACACCATAATAGAGGATTGCTACAAGAGAAAAGATCAAAGTACATCTACTTTACCTTCCACTGCCCTGATAGATGTACAAAATAAGGATAATGGAATTGTTTACTGAACCTAGTCATTAAATTCTATAAAAGAAAAATGCCTACAACTGTCCCAAGACATGAAGTGACGAAAACCCTAGCAGTGAAAGCTTTTTTCAGATTCTCAGGCATCTGTTACAAACACATTTACCACACAATGAATCTGAAATTAATCTATTCCAAAAAATACTGTCTTCTGAAAGTAGGCCAGGCCCTAGCCCAATCAGGGCTGTAGCTGGTCAAAAAGTAGGCTTGATACAGGACACCTCCACATTTTTTTCAACGTACTGATCCAACCACTCAAATGACACTGGGCAGGATACAAAGACTTCATCCAGGATCCTGGGACCAGTGATAAAGAATACATTCAAAAAGGGCAGAACTACTATTCAAATCATCTTCATTCCAAACCCTCATTTCACCAATCCCCAGAACCACAAATACAGCAAACAGCATTGGGACTCCACATCTGAGGAAACCAAAGATTTATTTGTATTTTAAATATCCTTCACATTTGAGGAGGTCAAATGAGAACAGACACATCTTGTGCTCTTCATATTTATATCATATACTGATGAATTCATCAGATGTATGTCTCTACATGTCCAGCCGTGATTAGGACACTAGTAACTATAGGGTTCACTGCTCATTCTAGGGTGCCCTAAGCAGGTGGTGATGGACATTCTTGAACCAGTCTGATGGGATTGAGGGGCTACGTAGACCAACTTCAAAGAACAGTTGAGTCAACCACATTGGCAAGATTGGAGTTTGGCTAAATGTGGCAGTTGCCTTGTTTCAATTGGCATTAGTGCACCAGTTAGATTTTTACGTCAATCCAACATCTATCTACTTCAGAAATATTAATGAAAGGATGCTGCATTGTGCTGTGGGATCAGTCAATGCTGGGAGATTATAAATCCAACAGATAACAAGGGATATTTCAGATCAGATAGCACACAAAACAATACTTTTCACTGTATTTCAGTACATGTGACAACAATCAATCAACCAGCTTCAAACTGAAATTTTGCTCCGATTACCGCAACTCAAGTATGCAGATTATAACCACTAGGTGGCAGAAGCAGACTAAATACAACCTGAGCAAACAGCTAAGCATTGGTAAAACTATCCCCCAAAAGCAGAGGATACGTCAGCCGTGTGGTTCCATTCTAAACTATGACAAATAGAGGCAGACTGAAGCAGGGTGACTCTGTACTGATGCCCTGAACATTTCCCCGCTAACTAGTGCCTGAGGTTTAAGGCACACACACAGAGCTTAACATATACTGCTCATATCAGTGAGATCCCACAGAGTTGGGGGAGGCAAGGGTTCGAATGTGGGTGGGTGGGTGGAAACAGTGGGTGGAGGGGGTCGTGAAAACGGTGGGTGGGGAGACGGGAGAGGGGTGGAAATGGTGGGTGGGGAAGGGGGTGATGCAGGAAACAGGACCATCTTGGGAATGAAAACTGCAAACCCCCACTTACCTGTAGATTGTGTGTAGAGTCAAAACACCTGGCAAAGGGAATTCTAAAACTTCCAAAGCCAACTCTGCATCCCCACTATTTGATGACTTTAATTCCAAAAAGTCAGGGGTGAAACAAAAGGACGGAGTGTCTTTAGCAGGGCTCACTTCAAATCGGAAAACACCTTCAAACAAAAACAAAGGATAACATTAACAGCTCACACTCGGGCAGATATCTAGTCCATACAACAACCATATTCAACCCATCCATACAGTGTACTATCGCTAGGGGCTGGGATAATATGTTACCAAGTGTAGAATTTCCAGGGACTGGGGGAATGGATTTCATAGTACAGATTCCCCGGGGATTGAGAGAATAGTTTACATAGTGTAGAATTTCCAGGGATTGAATCATAGAAACCCTACAGTGTGAAAGCAGGCCATTCAGCCCATCAAGTCCATACCACCCCTCCAAAGAACATGCCACCCAGACAGAGACCCCTACCCTAACCCCATAACTCTGCATTTCCCATGGCTAATCCACCTACCCTGCACATCCCCAGTCATTATGGGTAATTTAGCAAGGCCAATCCACCTAATCTGCACATCTTTGGACTGTGGGAGGAAACCAGAGCACACAATGGGAGGAAACCGATGCAGACACAGGGAGAATGTGCAAACTCCACGCAGTCAGTCACTGGAATCAAAACCTAGGCCCCTGGCGCTGCAAGGTAGTAGCACTAACCACTGAGCCATCATGTCGATTGGGGGAGCAGATTACACAGTGTAGAATTCCCAGAGACTGGGGAGGGAGATTGCAGTAAATTACAAAGTATAGAAGTCCAAGGAAGTGAGAAAGATGTGTTGTAGAGAGTGTAGAATTCCCTAGGACAATGAAAAGTATTACGGAGTGCAGATTCCCAGAGACTAGGTGCAAGTGGGAGATATAGTGTGGGATTGCCAGGGATTAGGAGGAGGTATTACAGTGTGGCCTACAATAGAGAGGGGGATTCCCCAGGGGGCAATGAGTATGTTACAGAGAGGGGGATTCCCTGGGTGGGGGTGATGGGTGTATAACAGACAGCAGGGTTCCCTGGGAGAGGCGACGGGTGTATTGCAGAGGGGGGGATTTCCAAAGAAGGGTGATGGGTGTATAACAGAGCAGGATTCCCCAGGAGGGGCGATAGGTGTATTACAGAGAGAGTGATTCCCGGTGCGGGGGAAGCGATGGGTGTATTACAGAGAGAGAGGTTGCTCAGGCACACAGCTCATCATGTTAAAGCTTACCTGGGATCTTGCGCAGTCTCCTCAGTAAAGGTGATGGCTTTTTCTCATCTGTGATGAACTTCATCAGGTCTTCATCACTGAGCTTATCTTCCTCCTGATCAGAGAGGAAAGCATTCATCATCCAAATAGTTTCCGTGAGCAGTTTCACAATGGGACCACAGTGATATACAATTAGATGATGTGTGCCCTGTTGGACCACCAAATAATCTAACTGAACAGAGGCAATGTGGGTTCTGCATTACTGAACTCAGGTTATCTTGGGATGGGTCATAAAGAATTTGAGTGCCTTTCACCCTGGGAGAATGAGTGCACTCGGTCTGTGATAAGGCATGTGACATAAGTGAATCATACTTAAGGTGCAGTTTCTGAGGTTGAATGGAAAATCTGCCACAAGTTGGTTGTATCTGGAACTCTCTGATTGACCTCCATCAACATAAAGACAAAGCATTCATTAAGACCAACTCTTCTTCATGGGGCTCACACATTAGAAATCCTCCTGGTCTTAACTGTCTATTAAAAAGGTTAAGTCAGATGAGTATTGGCTGTTGTCATCAACAGACTGTCTAAACAAAAAAAATCAAAGAACTGCAGATCGCTGGAAATCAGAAAAAAAAACAGAAATTGCTGGAGAAATTCAGCTGGTCTGGCAGCATCTGTGGAGAGAAAGCAAAGCGAACATTTCAAGTCCAGTGACCCTTCTTCAGTTCTGACTTGAAACGTTAACTCTGCTTTCATGTTAAGGAGCAAGTGAGCTGTATTAACAGACCATCTAACCATCTATAGGTCTTTACCAGTGAATAAGGAAGAAGTAACTTGCATTGATATAGAATCTTTCAGGACGTCCCGAAGTAAATGTACTATGAGGTGAAACATGTTTGCTTTTGTAGGAAAGACTACAGTCTACTTGCCCAGAGTAAACTCCCATAAATAGCAATGTAATAATGACCACATCATTTCTTTTAGTCATCTTGGATGAGAGGTAAATATTGGCCAGACAACCAGCAATAACTGGGCCCCAGCTCTTCACGGTATCTATAAAGGACTTGGGCGAGGGTACCAAATCAATGTTTCCAAGTTTGCTCACAGCACAAACCTGGGCAAGATTTTGAATTGTGAGGATACAAAAAGGCTTCAAAGTGATTTAGACAAGTTGAGTGAGTGGGTGATCACATGGCAGATACAGTACAACACGGCTAGACGTGAACCGATGTACTTTGGTGTGAAAAACAGAAGGCAGAGTATCATTTAATTGGTGACAGATTGGGAAATGTGGATGTACAATGAAATCTGGACGTTCTTGTACACCAGTCAATTAAAATAGGCAGGCGGGTGCAGGAACCAATTAGGAAGGCAAGTAGTATATTGGGATTCATTGCATGAGGATTGAGTTCAGAAGTAGGAATGTAATTGAGAAAGGACATATTTCTCACAGTAGGAGTGCAAGAGAGATTTACTAGGCTGATACTGGATGTGGCAGCACTGTTTGATGAGAATACATTGGTTCCATGGGACCCGTATTCACTAGCGTTTAGAAGGATGAGGGGGATCTAATTCAAACACATAAAATTCTAACCGGCAGGAGGATGTTTTCCCTTACAACTGGGGTCATAGTTTCAGGATAGAGGTAGACCATTTAGAACTAAGATGAAGAAAAATGTCTTCACTCAAAATGTATTGCACTTGTGGAGTTCTCAGAAGGTCGTGGAGGCCAAATCATTGGACTTATTCAACGAAAGATAGATGCACTTTTTGATTTTAAAGGTATTAAGGGGTCTGGAGAGAAAGCAGGAATATGGCATTGAGATAAAGGATCAGCTGTGATCATATCGAGTGGTGCAGCAGATCCAAAGGGCCTACTGCTGTTCCTAGTTTCTGTGATATGTTACAGCCGAGAGCCGGTAATGCCTCTCTTTTAGCTGTCATCCATTAGGCAGTGCTGTTGACAATATAGCAGACTGTCAGCAGTGCACTGGAGTATCAGTCTGGATGCTGCAGACAAAGTTCCTTGGATAGGTCTTGGACTCATGTTCTTCTCTATCAATGCAAGTCTCTCTTTCTTTTGGCTCACAGGTAGATGTCCTCTGCACCCAACTTAGTCCATCGAAAACTGACACTGTTTATCTGTCATAACTCACGAACTTACATATACATTTATCCCAAATGTTTTAAAAAGGCAACAAAATATTTTTTGCGCTGTTACTGTTGTTTTGGCAAATAAAGCCTCACTTCATTGATGTAATGCACTTACTGTAGAAAACTGTCCCCACGAGCTTCAGAGACATCAGGCAAACAAATGTCAAACTAAAGAAGAATCAATTTGGCTGTGTGACCAAAAAGCTTGATAGAAGAGTCAGGTTTTAGGAATATCATGAAGAAAGAGAGGTCTTTGGCGCAGGAATTTCAGAGTATTAAGAAATGAAGGCATGGTAAAGGGAAAAATGCAAAGTACACTGGAACTCAAAAAACATTTGGATGAGTGCAGGGTTCAAACAGATTCCAAAAATAGGATACACAAAGAGAAAGGTAAAACTTTCAAATTATAGATATCTGGGGACAACAACCCAAGGTCCCTCTTCAACGTGGAGACAAAGCCTAAATCAGGAGCATTTCTGCCCTGTAGCCTAATCTAGAAATGGTGACACATCTGAGATCAGAATCTTCAGTGCAGTTAGTTTACTACATTAGCTGAAGACAGCTTTCAATCTGACATTGTGCTCTCAGTCCATCATGGTCTGGGTTCCTTTCATTCATTCATGAGATGAGGGTGTCTCTGGCCAGGCAGCATTTATTGCCCATCACCAATTGCCCAGAGGGCAGTTAAGAGTTAACCACATTTCTGTGGGTCTGGAGTCACATACAGGCCAGACCCAGTAAGGATGACAGTTTCCTTCCCTAAAGGACATTGGCGAACCAGATGGGTTTTTCCCCAACAATTGATTCATGGTCATTATTAGACTCTTAATTCCAGATTTTTTTAAAATTGAATTCAAATTCCATATGTCGTAGTAGCATTCAAATCCAGGTCTCCAGAATATTATCTGGGTCTCTGGATTATCAGTCCAGCAATAATATCACGAGGCCATCACCTCTCTGTTTACACAGCGAGTAGTCACTTGGGTAACATCCCACATGATTCCCATGTCTTTTTTAATTCATTCAGAGGATGAATGGCATCACTGTCTCTACCAGCATTTATTGGCCATCCCTAATTGTCAACCACATCGCTGTAGGCCAGACCAGGTAAGGATGGCAGTTTCCTTCCCTGAAGGACATTAGTGAACCAGATGGGTTTTTCTGACAATCAACAATGGATTCATGGTCATCACTAGACTCTTAATTACAGATTTTTTTTTTAAATTGGCTGTGGTGAGATTCAAATCCGCATCCCAGAAATTAACCTAGGTCTCCAGATTAACAGTCTAGCAATACTACTACTAAGCCATTGCTTCCCCTAGCCTGCTTGGCTATACTTCAAGGAGAATTAGCAATGTCAGAAAGGCAGGCCAGAGAATGAAGAATCTGATGGCGAGTCTGTACCTTGAAATATTTCTTACATAGCGAAATAAATCTATTCTGTGTCTTCTGATGTATCCCCTTAAATGTCAGCCACTCCAACCCTATTGGCCTATACTTTAACCAAATTTACCAATTCACTTTAGCCAGCTCTGGCTTCACACTCACATAATTGCCTTTATTTAATTTTTTAAAAAATAGGCTCATATGCACTTCTCTCTCTGTCAAATTGAATGTAAAATTCAATCTAGTCACCACTACCTAGGGAAAACTTTACTATGAGATAGTTAACACACACTTAAAGCAAAGGCATATTCGCTTCGAGAAACCTACTAAAGAGGAAGTTTGCAGCGAAAGCAGAAACAGAGGTTAACAAGAGGGCTACGAGATATTGGCAACATTCTGACTGGAAAATGAAAGGAGCGCTGTTGGTAGTGATCGAGCCTGGCTGAGAGAAGTACAATCAGCAGTGTTTTGGAAAAGATGGGCTTTGGATATTGCTCTGTTTTTGCAGTGCATACTCACCATACCTGTTTATTAAACATGTTGAGGCTGTGCTGTACGGGTCCAAATGGGAGGATGTGATTCTTGTTGTCTAACGATCGTGAGCGCACCTCACTCCCACTGCCTACATGCAACACACAAAGGAACAGTTATAGGAACTAAATGCAATTGGTTCCACTTCCTCAAAGGTCAGCAGCCGTTTTTGTCCTTTTATTGTTTGCAGGGCTAAGGGGAAAAAGCAACAGAGGGGGATTCATTGGATAGCATTTTGCAAAGAGTCAGTACAGGAATGATGGGCCAAGTAGCCTCTTTCCATGCTGTAAGATTCTTAGCTGAGTTAACATGTAACTTACTCCCTGGGTGTGAAGGCCACAGGGTTAAGCTGAATTCTGATCTTACACACTATCCAATGATACTCTCTGAGTCAACCTTGGCTGATGTAAATCCAGCGTTGCACCCAGTCTAACCAATTTTCCCAACTGGTTCAGGTTGCTCTCGGCCACTGAACATGCTGAGAATGAGATACTGACAGCAGTCCGGAAAAACGTCAGTCTATGTGAGCTGATGACAAAGATACACTGGCCCACGACAGCAGCTTAAAATCCAACAGACTCCAGAGCCCATAGGAGCCAGCTGCCAGTTTTAAATGATGCCAGACCTGGCAGATGTTTGTAGCATGTTTGGGACTAGAACATGACCATCACAGAGTAACAATTTCATGGAAGCAGCGGTGACTGGGTGAATAAATAGTGCATCAATTTTGGTTCTGATTATTTTGCTTCCCACTGAACTCCCTGTTTTTCACAGTAACCCTCCTTCTTCCCAGCTACTTCAACCTAATACTTATTTAACATGGCCGGATCGAACTGTGAGCATTGGAAGGCCAATCAACTGAGATAAACGCAAGCACACAAACAAATAGACAGAGGAATTGAAATACCCAACACTCGGGTGATTGGTAACAATGATCAGGAACTCCTGTTGATTCTTCCCTTCCCTGATGTATCTCTGACTGAGGTTTAGCTATATGGTCATTTATTTGGGAATGGAGTCCTGAGCCTTCTATGGGATGAAGCAGCAACTCACTGAAACCAACAGAGCAATATGAATCACAGTTCAATGATTTGATGGTGATGGGTGAGTGCAGGTGGAGAGTGGTGGGGATTGGTCAGTGAGGTGGGAGGGGCAAATCGGTGGGAGAGAAAATGGACAGGTTGTGTCAGGTCAAGGAGGCGGGGATGAGAGAGAGGGTTGGTCATGGGATGAGGCCAAGGGTGCGGAGACTTTAAAACTGGTAAAATCCACGTTTAGACCCCTATCCCTGGCCTCATCCCATGACCAACCCTCCCTCTCATCCCTGTCTCCTTGACAGGACATAACCCATCCATCTTCTCTCCCATCTATCTGCCCCTCCCACCTCACTGAACAATCCCCACCACTCCCTACCTGCACTCACCCATCACCATCTCACCTAGGTTCCCCAGCCTCACCCCTCCTCTCTCTTTTTATTTCTGAGATTCCCTACCCCCTCCCCAATTTCTGAAGAAGGGTCCCGAACCAAAACGTCAGCTTTCCTGCTCCTCTGATGCTGCCTGGCCTGCTGTGTTCCTCCAGCTCCACACTGTGTTACCTCTGACTCCAGCATCTGCAGTTCGTACTACCTCTCAATGATTTGATGCTTCTTTTCCAATTGAATTACCTCCATTGATGGTCTCTCTGTCCAGTGAATTCTGGGAACTGCGATTAGAAATGAGACTCATGAGATCAACTGCAGCCCAGGCGAATGGCATTCGATACAAACTCAGACGCTGGCAGAAAGAAGCTGCCTGGAACCGTAGCTTTCCAATCTTTTCTCTCATCTGGAAGGCATTTTGAAAATTTCAAGGCATAAGCTCGATGGGACAAGACAGACCACATTTCTTAGAAGACAAGTTAGGTCAGCTGGGGCTCAGGAGTAGAATGAGTCACAGCTGTGGGTTCAAGTCCCATTCTGCAACCTTTAGCGTAAAATCTAAAATCTGAATTGACACCTGTCAGAGGTGTTGCTTTGAAACATTAAACTAAAGCTCTCACCAGCCACATCCATCCCATAAAATAATCAAGATTAGTCTAAGATAGATTTTGATTTAGAATTCATGACAAGTAATGGATACTGAAGATCTTTGTTAGCAAGAGATACTGGTTTACAAGAATTTACAGCTAATCGTTTACTATTCTTGTGCTTTCATATTTGCTCAGAGTTGGAGCTTCTGGGAGATGAACTGACAGAAAATGGCCTCCCTGCATGGGGAATGGGGGAGAAGAAAGGTTTCTGGAATGTTCTATCTACATACCTTGGCTGTCTCATTCTCTTTAATGGTCATGTATGGCTCAGCACAGTCAGTGATACTGCCTTGCTGTAGCACTTTCTCCACCTGAAACACACAAAATAAAGAAACTCAATTTAAAGGGTATTTTACATCTTAAAATGGATGTTAAAAGAGTGTCCCGTGACAGATCACAAGGCAAAACTTTATTTCATTGCTCAAAGTGTTGGTATAATCCAATTATTGTGCCCCTCACCAGGATTTGAAAATTGTGGATTGGCGCCTCACACTATTCGATGTCAGTTACTAATAAACACAATAATAAAGGGCTGTTGTATCGGCAGAGCTGCCACAATTGGCATGAAATGTTACACTGAGGCCTTACCTGCTGTTCAAATGATTGCTGGCACCAAATGCATAAAGAAAAGAGATTAGTTTCTAAAGCAGCCTAATAAAGGAAGATTGAAGGAGTGCTGGAAACAGAGGCACCACCCTAATGTCTTGTCCCATCTTCTCAACTTTAAACAGTCCCATTGAATCACACTACAATCTACATCTCAGATTTTTGTGCCAAATCCTCATATTTGTATTTTCGCACTTCAGTCAAAATCCTAAGCATTTGATTTTCCATCCGATCTAACTCTTCAATATTCTTCTGATTGTGAGCTGCCTCCAATGCTCTATCGGGGGTCTTCACTAACCTTTATACAGGTTCCCCATGTCCTTTTGTCCTTTATAGTTCACATTGTTGGAAAAAACCAAGAAAACCATTTACTTTTTATGATCTTCTTGCCCTGAGATCCTATGAACTTATACCTGCAAAACGACCTGAAATTCCATAAGAACAAACAAGAGTTGACTCTAACAAGAGCTCCTCTAACTGCCTTGCCATTCAGAAATTAGATATATGGGCTACAAGGAGAAAACCTGGTATGGTTCAAAAATATATTTTCAGTAACAGTTCAAACACAAGCTACTAGGACTGGTTTAGACCAGCATGTTACTCAGTGTCTGGTTGGCATGAAGCGGGCTGAGAGATATATATAGCACAAATGTAGATAGTATCTATTTAGGAATTGATGTAATGCTGTGGAAAAAATGAATTGTAATTGGGTAGAATAATGAGTTAGTGTGTGTAGAATCATGTAATTAGATAGCTGTACCGACTCTGAAATGCCTAGAAATGGTTTATCCATAGCCATATGTAATTGATTTAAGGGACCGGATCCTATCTTCGGAAGCGTACATGTCCCTTTGCGTATGCTTGAATAAAACCAGTGATGAGAGGAACTTGAGTCTCGTCTGATCATTGTGGGTATGGGATGGAGAAAAACATCCTGCAGGATGTGCCAGATTCATCGTGAGGAAGGAAATCCTTCCTGCTTTCTGGGTGATGGTCTGACTTGAATGGCCAGAGTCACAATTAGAGGCATTCCTCCTGTGGTTCCATTCACCACGGCCAGTCAGCTCAGAGTTATCCAGCTTTTCCATGGAGAGGAATTCATCATTCATAGCAGTTACTGGGATGTGGTCAATGGGTAGTTACAGTTGTCCAGGAGGTGCCCCCTTGAGAGATGGGCCTGTTATTGGTTTGTCAGCTGAAACCCCAGTGGAAGTTCAGTCTGTCATGGCTGACCTTTTACCTTAACCCCACTTTCCTGCACTCTCTGCAGACCTTTTAATTCATCCATTAATCTATTGAATCCACATCAAGTGCGTTGTGGTCAGAGTGTAACCACCATTATTAAAACAATTTTATTTGCTACCAGTTAATTCCATCTGTGCTTTTTTACATTAAAAAAAATTCATTCAGGCGATGCTGGTGTGGCTGACTGGCAGCAATTATTGCCTTCTTGAACCGCTGCAGTCATAGAGTCATACAGCACAGAAACAGACCCTTCAGTCCAACACTCATTCTCTCAAAAAATACACAAATAGGGAGGGAAATATTTTGGGCTTTTTGTACGTTGCACTTAAACATGACAGAAAGCAAGTGACAAATCTGGACAAGAGTTTATTAGGCCATTAATACAATCAGGTACAATCCTTACATATCCCAACTCATTATTGGGAAAGTGATGGCCTAGTGGTATTATTGCCAGACTGTTAAACCAGAGGCCCAGATAACATTCTGGGGACCCAGGTTTGAATCCTGCCATGGCAGATCGCGAAATTTGAATTCAATAAAATAAAAATCTTTAATTAAGAGTCTAATGATGACCATGAAACCATTGACGATTGTTGGAAAAACCCATCTGGTTCACTAATGTCCTTTAGGGAAGGAAATTGCCATCCTTACCTGGTCTGGCCTACATGTGATTCCAGACCCACAGCAATGTGGTTGATTCTTAACCACCCTCTGGGCAATTAGAGATGGGCAGTAAATGCTGCCTGGCCAGCACCGCCCTCATCCCGCGAATGAATAAAACAAAAAAATTCACAATCAGTGAAGTTAGTCCCAGCTCTTATTGGGGACAGAGGGGATGACAGAAAGGAGAGATGGTGGAGTATTGGTAGTGTCACTATTCTACTAATCCAGAGTTGCAAAAACATACTAATTCCTTTTACAGAAAGAAATCTGCCATCCTTCTCCAGTCTGGTCTACATGTGACTCCAAATCCCCCACAATTTCGTTGACTCTATACAGCCCTCTGAAATGACCAAACAAATCACTCAGTTTAAAGTCAATTACAAATGGGTAGCAAATGCTGACCTTGCCCAGAAACTAAGAATAATAAATGCTGGTAAATGGAGCAGCCAGCTTACACAGCACTAAGATCCATGAGCAGCAGTGAAATCAGTAAATCTGTAAATGTCAACCAGGTTACCTCCCACTGTCAAAAGGTGTGCAGGCTAGGTGCATTGGCTATGCTAAATTGCCCATAGTGCTCAGGTAGATTAGGTGGGTTATAGGGGGATAGGTCTGGGTGGGATGCTGTGAGTCAGTATGGACTTTTTGGGCCGAAGGGCCTGTTTCCACACTGTAGGGAGTCTAAGTCTAAGGACACCTGAACAAAAATCTTGAAGGGTATAGATAAGGTGAATGGAAGGTGTCTTTTCCCTGGGGAGGGCAATTTCAAGACTAGTGGGCATATTTTTAATGTGAGAGGAGAAAGGTTTAAAAAAGCCATGAGGGGAAACGTTTTTTACACAGACAGTGATTTGTGTGTGGAATGAAATTCCAGAGGAAGTGGTGGATCCAGTACAGTTACAACATTTAAAAGACATTTGGATAAGTACATGATGGATGTGGGCCAAAGGCAGGCAGACAGGACTAGTTTAGTTTGGGATTATGGTCAGCATGGACTGGTAGGACCAAAGGGTCTGTTTCCATGTTGAATGACGCTATGACTCTATGACTCTAAGCCTCTATAATTCCTCAGGGCCCTTTATACCCAACTGAAGACACAAACAAAAACTAAAAAGAACTGCGAATGCTGTAAATCAGGAACAAAAACAAAGTTGCTGGAAAAGCTCAGCAGGTTTGGTAGCATTTGTGAAGGAAAAAACAGAGTTAACGTTTCGGGTCCAGAACAGGTTCTGAAGAAAAGTCACCGGACCCGAAACGTTAACTCTGTTTTTTCCTTCACAGATGCTGCCAGACCTGCTGAGCTTTTCCAGCAACTTTGTTTTGTGAAGACACAGAAATGTGCTCAATGTAGCACCCTATCCAAAAGATTACCTCAGTCCAGAGTACATTCCCAATACCTGATTTACAGCTTGACTTCTCAAATCTTCTTCCAGTTAGGCATGAATGTCAACAACTGAGGTTTACGGGCACTATTTAAACAAACTGAATAATAAATAGGGAGCATACAAAAAAAAATCACAAATAGGTGACAGGTTAATAATGTCACAAACACAACAGCAGGTTAGCACACAGTGGAATCAGGTTTGTTTGATTGTGATAGTAGTGACAGCAGTTGAAATTTTTGAGTGGAGTGGAATAATTAGGCTCCACGGAGTCCCAGACTGTCTGCCCTCATTGGAAAGATGGAATTGAATACATAAAACTCACAAAGAAAATTCATTGTTATGAAAGAGCAGTGAATATTGCAATTTTACCAGCAGATATCGGAAACTGGTTGAGATGGTGTGCAAATTCATAAATGATCTCAAAGCAGACATTAGCAAAATAGATCCTTCGATCTTCGTTTAGTCCAATGGAAAATAATGTAATTGATTATCAGATGTAAACATTGTCCTCTGTGCAATGATAATACAGTGAAAAACTGACAATGCAAATTCAAAGAGGGATGATCTAGCCTAACTAATCTTCTCTGAAGGAAAATGACAAAGGGATCATATTAC